CGAGAATTTCAAAAACAAAGACATCACAGAGACAGCAAGGCTTCTAAAAACGAACGTAACAAAACTTTTTTGGGTGCCCGAGAACCACAGGGTGGTGCGTTTGTGGCCAGGCTCCAAGAACCAACATTCGACGCGATCCACTCACCTTCTCACAAGCGCTGATGGCCTTGGATCGCAAGATCTGCGCTTGAAACAGGCAGGGCAAATGATTGGAACACGAAGGACAAGCAAGAGGCAGTAGATCCGAGTGTTTAAGACAACTTGCTTTGGCCGAAGAAGCTCCTTCTCAAGTGGGTGCAAAACACAGTTGGCCAACTCAGCCTGCATTGTGTTGCAAGAACAGAGATTAAGTGATGAGCCAACAAGTCGTCAACACCTGCACACAGATCTAGCCTGCAAGATCTACTGTAAGTTAAGTCGTTTATATAAGCCTTAAACAAAAGATGTGTGAGTCATAAGAGCAAATGCTCGGCTAAACCAAATCGAATTCACCCGCCCCACTCGAGTCGTGAGCGAAGTGAGCACCGGAAACCCCTCGGACGTCCGGTAGACCTGAAAGAGCGAGGCACCGCGCTGTAGGTAATCACGTCCAATCTGACGGAGCTCTCTTTCATGACCTTCGCAATTGACACTGACGCCTTGAAGACACTTGCTAGCAAGTGGTTCTTCTTGTCAATATGCAAAGTCTTTTCAAACATGCCTCTGCAGGTGTCTTGGGACACGCTTCAATGACGCAAAACTGTGAACGGCTCTGAAGCCAAGCTTCCAAGAGCATGTGCAAGGCCCACTGCCATTGACGGCCCTTTTCACAGCTGCTGATCAAGGCATTAAACGTCACATCGTTGGCGAACAAGTGAGACACCTGCACAGAAGTCCCCATCCAGAAGAGAACGATTCCAAACATTTACCAAAAAGCTGATGGAATCAAGTCAATCATGTCAATCTTAATTGAAGAGAACTGCTTCAAAGGATTGTATACTATCCACACCGTCAAGTTAGGTACCGGGAGTTCTCGTGTCTCGCTGCGAGTCCGTACCTGGGTGAATTCGAAGAAGCAGTCGAGCGCTTGAGACCACGAGGACGAGCGTTCACATGCGCTGATGACCTGGGGCCGATTGGGCGCTTTCCGGCTCCGCGTCGGCACCGACGGTGCCACCGCTGCGTCGGCACCGCGTTCACCGCGTTCCGGGCGGAGGCCGTGGCTCGTCGAACGGAAGAACCTTCCGTCAGGGTTTTTGGAGCGAACGATGCAACGACCAGACTCGTCTCTGTTGGGCAAACATCCCGCGTACGCAGTGAATGGTCCGAAAACGGTGGGAAGATTGCGAACTCGTCGAAATGGCACCATGACCTTTCACAGATCCACCTCCACTCATCCCGGCACGGAGACCACAAACCTCGATGAAGCAAAGGGACTGCATTGTAGGAGACCACGTTTGGCACTTGTCCAGACCTCGGGCAAAGGAAACAAAACATCCAAATCAATGAGAACAATGTTTGACAATCTTTGGCGGATGAAATCGAAATCACCAGAGATCAAGGCCGCACCGAGCTCACCAAACGAAGACCGAAGAGTCCTCACGACCTGTAAGGCCCCCACTGCAAAACCGCGAACGTGTGCACCGCGTCGCGCCAGAAGCGTGTCTCCTCCGCAACATCCGCAAATGTCCAAAGAACAACCAAATAAATAACGCTCCACGGCATTGAAATCGAGCAGAGAGTGGTCTTCTGTTCACCCAAAGAAGTTCAAACAAAAGAAAGAAGAGCTCCCTCTAGTTTCAGGTCGGGTCCCCCCCTGTCCAAAAACTCAATCCAACCCATGACACAAAAGAGTGACGTTCTCAAGAGTCACCCAGCAAGAGTCACCGAAAGCACCGGCGGTCCCCACCGGAACCAAAACCCGAACGACCGGTGCCGAGCCTTAAAGACTCCCATCAACGCGGTCAGCACAAAGCCTTCCGGCGAGGTCTTGAACTGAATGACGGGCAGAAAGAAGGCCCGAAGAAACAAGGTGGGCCCGCGGTCGGCAAAGATCGAAGAAAAGGTTCAAATTCCTAAGAAGTTATAGTCACGGAAATAACATGAAACAAAGATGTGAAGTTGTAAGAGTCTTGTTCGCCACGCTCTCGGAGTGGTGAAAAGAATGACTTCCAAAAGCACGCGACAGAAGGGTCAACTTGACACGCGACAGAGAGGAGCATCTTGACCAGTCCAGAAGGGTCAATTCCGTTGCAAATACCTGGCGACCCTCTTCCAGTCGATCGAAAACCTACAGGCAAAACTTACCTACTCGAAAACTCCACTGGAGTTCCGCTACACGGAAAAAGAACTCAGTTTCGACAACGTAGATAGACTCACATTCACCAAAGTCAACCACTGTATAAATATATATATACCCTTGGAAGGGCACCCTTTGAACCAATCCACAAGAGAAGGGTGAAGCGATACTTTTGAACTTGTAGCTGGTTCCAGGCGCAATTCTTCCAACTTGGTCGTCTCCAACACTGATGCTTGTTGGGCAAATCCATTGTTGTGCGCTTTAATCTTTGACCCAAGGGGCAGTTTGCCTTCAGCTGATCTGCTCTCATCTTCTGCAGCAGTTCGAGGGCACCCAGCCAATCTTTGCACATCTCACACGCCTCGTCGTGCTACATGATGCAGAATAAAGGCTCTTATCGTGCAATGTATCTTGAATTGAAATGATAGAACAACAACAGCAACAAGAAATCAGTGTGTTTTTGGTGAATTGTGCTTACAGCCTTTGTCATTTGATCCAGACGGTCACTCAAGTCAGGAAACAGGTCAGGTCTTTCCCACTTGCCTTGATGGCCGCCGTGTAGGTGATCTCCTCGAGTTGAGCATCAAACGATGCAAGTTAGCAGCCTCCATTTCTGGAAGAGTGGAACTGCTTTTGGTCACCAAAAAAGAGAGACCGAAATACATGCCCCCTTGATGCAAGTCTTCAAACATGCTGATGTTCAGGCACCCTTCTCTCCTAGCAGATGCGTCATGTTCCAAAAAACAAGCACTATATTGGAAAAAACAAAAAGTAAAAACATACACGCCCCGTCCGTCGGGCGCAGCTGGAGATCTCGAAGCTCTTGCAGCAGTTGGAAGACCTGGATTCTTCGTCCACGCCCAACCACAACAGTCCACGTGAAGAGACGAAAGGATCACTGAAAAACTCCAAAGACCGAAAAAAATAGAAAAGGTCACTGGAAAAGAATCACTGATCACCGCCCTGTTGCGTTGTCGTTTGACGCAAAGCCCCCCCTCCTTTTGGCGGTGTCTTCCGGTCACGGGACCTTCGGAGCGGAAACGCTGTCCCAAGCACAAGCGCCCATGACCTCGGGGGGCGTGAGCGCGTGAGGAGCCACCAAAAGAAGTGAACGCCTTTGAACCATTTTCCAAGATCCTGTTTGACCCCTTCGAAATCGAATAGGTGTCAAGTTGTAACATCGAAGCCAACTCTAAGTGTCCAGTGTCTATTGTACTCGGCATCTTTTTGCAATCCAGGAACTGAGTTGAAGGATGCCGTGGCGGGCGCCATGCGTGCCAAAGTGATCTCCGAAAACTGCTGCAACCTCTTCGATCGAAACGACATCGCACGGGAGACACCCTACTTGCACGCTCGAATCTTCCAGACACTTGCCGGTCAAAACAAATCTCAAAATTTGCTGCTTTTGCTGCCCCATCATCACTGCATGACAAAGGGCGCCAAGCACCACAAATGTGCGCGTTCATAGCCCAAGATTGCAGAGTTGTAGGATACAACATCCTGATTGGAGCTGTTTTGGGTGACCACGGCCGACTATACCGGCGAAGATCGATGTCACGCAGGGTGTTGAAGGGGAAGATACGGGGGGAAAACGGTGAAACCATGTCCAGAAACCGGAAACCCTTCGCAGCAGAGTGGAAGTTCCGGACCCGTCTGGACCGCATGTCGATGTCTGCCTCACCAAGAATCAGCTTCTGAACCTCTGCTGAGGCTTTCATCCAAGAGCCACTGCGCCCGTGACCAAAGCCCTGCTTTCCCGAAAGCAGCGATGGTCCTGCGGAACGACGAAATGCTCCGCAAAGCAAACATGCCTTTTCAGCGGTGGGGTAGGACCGGGTAGAACCTGACACGCACGGGGGCATCGGGCATCATATTGTGCAGCGAACATCTTCTCCCTTGTGAGGTTCTTACGCTTTGAAGAATGCTCAACTAGCAAGGTATCTCTCCCTTAAGCCTTAAGTCTTCTCTCCTGCTGTAGGCTGCGCAGTGTGGAATGCACGTACTTTGTTGACGTCGAAGTTCCCACAGTTCGGTTTGCCAAGTGGTGCCGACCGAGGGCGGCTGGCTGCGGCTTGGCATGGAAACATGACGGTAGCCATCGCGACGCTTTTACTCGGCAACAAGAACTAGCAAAGAAGTGCTTGATCAGCTTCCCGGCATTTGTTCTTGTATGTTCTTGTAACCCTTGAGGCAGCAGCTCCTTTCCACTGCTGGCTGACTCAAACCTAGAGGACCTCAGAGTATAGCATTAACGCGCTCATTGTGTTCGCTTGAGGTAGCATGTATTCCTTGCCTTTAAGCCATAGCAAGCGGGATATAAACTCCTCAGCATTTGAGTGAAAATGAAATTTGAGTGAAGATGCAGCCGGTTCACGCCATCCAGCAGGGCATTCCAGTGGCGTGAGGTGTGAGGCTAAAACAGAGTGGGATATCTTCCCTGCAGCCACGTCGTTGGAAACATTTTTTCACGCAATCACAAGCAACCACACGCCACTTGCCAGTTGTGTTTGACCATTGGGCTTACTCATAGATACCGCTCGACCTGTCTTTGGGTCAGCTGTACACTGGGAGTCAGAGACTTCATTGGCATTATATACCATAATTGCCCGCACTGTTTGCAAGCAGAGGCACTTTCGGCGTCCCCTCCAGTTGTTGGCCTAATTCATTGAAAAAAGGTGAGTTGCTCAGGTACCACAAGCCAGCCACTTGGGAGTTGTTCTAAGGCATGTTGTTTCAGGGGGCACCTGATGTTGAAATCAAGTGGCCACGTCAAGCAAATGATCCTCTTCATATGCAAACCACATGAGCCCAGATTGGTGCTGCCCAGGCCCTTTGTCCTCGGGCACACACCGACCAAAGCGACATAAACACACGCTGCGGCATAAAAAGCGATAGGCCGTCGAAGCCAACCAGTGGTTGTAGAGCCCATTCTTCCGTTCGACCGCCTCGCAAATGGGAGAAGCTCTCAGACTAAGTTACTAGTATATGTGCGTTTCTTTCACTGAATCAACTTAGCACTCAGCATATAGCTTTTAGTTGTGATCTATCACAACTATGGTGTCCCTCTCTAGCTCAGCGCATTCGATGCAGCCCCCTCCTGGTCACCGATGTCAATCCCGATGTCAAGGTGACCCGCGCCTTGTCGTAAAGCTCTGACAAGAGGCCGATGTAGACATTCATCGCCACAGTGAACACGATGCTCATGGCCATGAACTCCTCGTGACACGGAGAAGACGAACCGAACCACGATGCACCGGCTGAGGGATCGAACGAAGCAATCCCGAACGAGGCTTTCACGAGAACCATGTCCAACCTGGTGGTTTCTTCGCAACTTCCCAGAACCACTTGGTGCCCGTGAAATGGGATGCACCCCTCCTTTGGGGAAAAATAAGCACCAAACAGCAATAGGGGCATGCCGGGATTGTCAGCTTAATGCTGGAGATTGGTCCAACCTTTGCTGCCACAGCTCCATACAAAGCCAGGTGTGGAACTTCTCATGGTTGAAATTTCCTGTCTCACCTGCCGCCCGCAGGAAGAAGCCGCTCGGCAGCTCAAGACGTGAAGAAACAAATTCTGGCCACACTTGTGACCGACCAGGCCCTGCGTCACTAGTCCTTGCTTACACCCCACAGATCCATGGTTGCATGAGGATCCTTAGAAACCACCGGAGGAGAAAATTCAAAAAAAAAATAGTAATAACGTCCACTTCTTCGTCCATGTCTCCACACGGGAGGCGTTCCGCGTGCGGCGTCCGCGGTACCCGCGCCTTCGAAGACACCATGTTTGAATTTGCCTTTCACCTGCTCATCCAAGCCTTCAAGCTCAGCTAATTCGAAGTCGCCCAGGAGTTCCAAGCGGAAAATCTTCAGAAAGCCTCGGTGGAACCCCTGGATCGAACTCGATCCGAGGAACGAAAATATCATAACATTGGTTAAGTATGTTAAGTTAACTTTTTACGAGACCTCCAGAATATGAATAGATTTATGAAGATATGTATACATATGTGGGCCTGTGAGTAAATAAGTAAATGATCAAATATCTGTGTTGTGTCTAAATAGTCAGTTATATGTCTGGGCTTGTTTGTACATATCAAATTATACACACACTGTATGCCATGGGACTGCTGTACATCCAGCATGTCAAGGAACTTGAGAACAAGTTGTTGTGGAAAAGTCCTTCTGGCCAGCTCAACAGGATGTTATTTCCACGAACTCAATAGACCATGGACAAAGTCTCCTTTGTTGAGAGTTTCTTTCTTGCGTTCCAATCTTGACATTGTTTCGGCCATGCTCTGGGCAGTAGCTTGTATAATCTTCTGGAAGCCCCATGCATCAGCTGCCATCAGTGCTGTTCCATCTTCCTGTTTCAGGCCACACTTTGCAAAGTCATAAGGCTAAGCGGTCCAGGTCTACTCTGTAAACCTGCGCAAGGATCTCGGACATGTGACCCGTGCACTCTCGGGTGTGTCCGCCAAGGGACCGTTCAAGACGTTGGCGAAGCTGCCACTATTCTCGGCAATGGGAAAGACCGAGTATGCATGGAAAGAAGCCAAGATGCCCACCATCAGGACCATGACAAAATTGATCCTCAGGCCGATTCTGGCATGTTTTGTTGTCTTCAGACAGTGCTATCAGCCACACAACAGGATCCCGACCGCTTTGACCAACCTTCCATCGACAGCTTCCACCGACTGCTTCAGCCGCTGCACGGCGAAACAACGCGAAAGCAGCGCGCGCGGAGGGTCGGTGGTCGGTCTGTTTTCCACACTGCGACGAAAGGATCGATCTGAGAGGTACTAGTACTGAAGGGGGACAGCGATGTCGCTCTCTTTTCGATGCTGGTTTGCCCCAGTACTGAACGAATGGAGCCAGCCGTGCTCTCTAACCGCATCCCACGAAAGAGCCATCGTCCGAGGCGCGAAGCTGGGCGGGTGACAGCGTGTAAGACCGGGACCATGGTCTTCCCCACTCCCTGGAGCTGAAAGATTTTTTTTGCACGAGTCGAGGCGCTGTGTGTGCAGGTTATGCACAAGTCACCTTAAGCTAGTAAAGAAGGAGAATTGAACCGGCCAGAGAACGAAACCGAACCAACCAAACCAACAAAACCACAAAACCCACCAAAAAAGGCACGGTTCAAACCTCAGGTAGGCTGACTCAGCCAGAAAGGTGGTGAAACGAAATACTGGATGGGGCAATGAATTCTTGGCTTACGCTCAGTACCTCATCTGCAAGCTCTTGTGTTTCATTTGCATCAAAGGAGAATGACAGCCCTCTGATTAGCGATGAAGTCCTCATTCAGGAGAGCAGAGCGATCGAAAGGCCCGCCTCGCTTCAAGGAGAGGGTCGATGCACAGTCAGGAATCTGCTTGACCAAAATTGTTAGCCATGAAAGGCATAACAAGCAGCATTTTTCCAGCATCATACCACAAACCAGTGCTCACGATTCAATCATGGAAGGTTTGACTACCCTCCCCCTGCACTACCCCTCCCCCCCCTCAAAGAAGGCCTGAGAACCTACTAAGGCCTTAGTAGCTTTCAAATCGTACTTTCCACTCGCCAACCACTCAATTGCACAGGCGCCTGCCTGCGTGTTTTTACTAGGCTCTTGCTGAGTCGCTGAGGTGTCCATGGTTGTTCATGGATTCATGGCTCAAGTCTTCCGGTCATGGCGCTCACCTTGTGTGAGCTCACTGCTTTCAGAACCATGGTTCACCAGGGGGGGGCCAGACCAGGGGGGGACCAGTGGAAATTCCCATGAATCAAGGAGAGCGAGGGTACTACGAGACATTCCGACTCAAGGAAAACAGCTGGATCAACGATCGACAACTACAAGTTGTCAAGGGACGAACCCAGCGGAGCCATGTAGTCAAGAAGAGACAGGACTGGTAAGTATGACGAAGACAGGCTAGTCCCACTGGCCCCCCCCATGGGGAGGGGGAGCACCAGCGGTGCAACGGCGACTTCAAAAACAGCTTTGCCATGGGAAGTCGCAGAACAGCAGTTTGTCTCCACCACTCACCAGGAGTAAATTCGGGCAGCCAAGGGTGCAATGTTGATGAGATTGGGCTTTGATCAGCGCCTTGCCAATGCGCCTCCTTGTGCATTCATGCGTGTTCTTGTGCGTTTTGAGACGCGCAAGCCCCCTGTACTACGTGAAACATAAGTTTATCCTATATAAAAGTGCTGTACAGGCTGTACAATCTGTACTCATCCAGGACTACCATTCGGGTGGTAGCCTGGGCACTGTCTAGCCGCTCAGTGTTCATTTACACCCACGAGGTAGCTGGCTCTAGTGTGAGCAGGACCAGCACATGGGTGCAAGTCTGAGCTCTTGGCTTAGCTTAGCAAGGCTTAGCAAGACTAAGCAAGGCTACTGCAGGCTACTGCAGGTCCTTGCGCATTCCATCAAGGAAGTCATCAGCCCACATGTCACAACCGCTTTCGGTATTTGGCGGAAGGAAGCGAATCCACTTTGGTGTGTCCAATTGTCTACATTTGTCAAAGGCGTTTGCCTGAGCATATGTCCCTCTCCAGGTCGTGCTCTTTCCGGTTTTGTTGAGTATGCGGAGTTGCGTGCAGCCTGCAAAGGCACGCCGAGCAATATACAACAGGGTTGGTGGGGTACTTACCTCTCGTAGCGAAGTGCACTTGAGAAAGGCTTCTTGCTCTATCCTTCGCAACTTGCTGGACAGACTAAGCTGCTGCAAATTAAATGTAGGCAGTGTGCAAAGGTAGAACCCAATATTTCAAGTAATTCGGTTCGGGAAATAGTTGTAGCTGCTGACAGCGCTCGCCGGCAGCAGGTCCAACCCACGTGAAGTCTGGTGGCAGGGAAAGCGAGTCCAAAAAGCAGCATTCGGGCAAGCATCTCCTCAGGTTCGTAGGGTCATACTCAGCTTGTTCGAAGTTGAGCTGTCGCAATGCAGTGCATTTCTCAAATGCCCTTGGCTGGAACTGCGCTTGCGGGGCTGGTTGATTAGTGGTGTCACTGGTGGCCCCGATTTGCGTCAGGGAGCGGCACCTTGATTCCGAACTGCTTACACCCCGGAGCTAGAACAGTTCGGAGTGCATAACATCTGCGAAAAACTCCATTCTGCAGGCAGACTACTGTACTCGGCAGGTGAACAATCTGGAGTCGCAGGCAACTCCGCCAGGCAGCCTCGCCAATGATCCGAATGCCAGCTTCAACCTGCACATGCCTGACTTCTGTGTTGTGCGAAAATGCTTGTGGCAGTATCCTATCCGTAGTGTTGTATGGGACTCGAACAGCTCTGGCCTTGCTTTTCAGCTGCCCTTTGTGTTCCGCTTCAGTGAAGCACTGCCGAACAATCAAGTTAAAGCAGTTGTTGTCGCGCAGGGTGTCCCAGATTGGGTCAACTAACATTTTACGAGTGTCTTTATGGACAAAGTCAAGCTCGCAACCAAAGGTGCTGCTCTCTCCTATGTAAGGGAGTTGCTCTAGCACTGCATTTTCAAACTCATTGAGTCTGTCAAATTCCTGCAATTCTATTGTCAGCTGGATTTCTTCTCCAGCAAAGGTGCTCAGGATGAGATGTATCACTAGTGATCTCTCTACACTCCCTGGGGAGCTACAGAGGGACATGATTTCTACATCCATCGCAAGAATCTCCCGTCCGAATTGTTCTACCGTTGGCTTGAGCCTGAAAGCACAGCCAGCAGCATGGAGAAGATTTCCAAACCCGCAGAAGCATAGAGCTGTAACCTACTTAGGGACGGCTGCTTGGGCAGCCGCCCTACCGCAATCCTACCCCTTGACGCACTATACTCATGTATGATGGCTGGGGGGGACCATCCAGTCACTCCCGTTCGAAGGTGATAATGGAGCCACCTTTAGTGCGTGACAGGCTTTGAAGGCATTGTAGGCTGCATAAGGGCGTCTCCAAGTAGTTTTCTTGCTTCTCCTGTAGGTAAGGCATGCCAGGTTGCTACACCCCCCAAACGCCCTGTGTCCTATACACCGTAAGTGAGTAGGGAGGACTAGGCTGCTCAGGGCAGTACATCCAAAGGCCTCTGCCCTTATCTCTCTCAGGCTGGGTGGTAGGGTTATCTCTTGCAGGCTTGGACAGTGTGAAAAGGCGTGCATATGCAATAGATCAAGTCTGGTTCTAGAGATATCCACCTGGGTAAGTTGTTTGCAGTTTTCATAGGCCCTATGGCCAAGAAAGACAGTCTCTTCTCCCAGCGTGACACGCTTGATCCCTGACGAGTGAAAGCAGCCACTGGGTATCCCAGCAGGAGGGGACGTCGGGGTGACGATGTCTGTGATTGCACACGCTGGTGGCAGGGCAAGCTGACTCAACTTAGTGCAACTTTCGAAGGCATAAGGCGCGACTACCGCTCCATTGGCTAGCCGGCAAGGATTTTCTGTGATAATTCCCCCTTTTTCTAGGGCGCAGCATTCAGAGAAAAGTCTAACACCAAAGAATACGCACCCTGGCACTTCGGCTACCGCCAGGGCATAGCACCCTTGAAAGGACGCATATTCGACAGCAACTACAGTTGCTGGCATCTTCACAATTCGAAGCGACTGGCAGAATCTCCACGCTTGTTTGTCAATTGTGTGGAGACCGGGCTCCACCTTGACGTGTCTAAGCCAAGTTAGTGAGAAGAAGGCCTTGGCAGGAAGGACCCCTGTGTCATTGGCAGGAATCTTGATGGCTTTGGGGTGAGCTTCATACACTTCTCTCTGGATTTGCTCTTTGCAGCTGTATGACTGAAAGCATTCTTGCACAACTAGGTGAAAATGCGTGTTGTTCCAAAGCTCATCATGGATGGGGTCACACAAGACACGCTGGGTGTCCGCCTCTAAGAGAGTCAGTTCACACCCAAAAGTGTCCAACAGCTACTCAGAGGCAGGTGTTCCACAAGATAATCCTCAAGCATTTCCCAGTTATGATGAACGCCAATCGGCACTGCGATCTTTTTCCACGAGTACGGACGCCGTGTGGGCGGAGTGCCCAGGTCATCAATGAAGGGAAAGGAAACACAACGTGATGAGGGGGAAAAGAACACAAGCAACCCCAAACCAAAAACACCAACCAAACAAAACCCCAAACACAAAAGCCAGAGGCCGAATCCCCCTCATCTAAAAGTGTTTCCTCTGTACGAAGGTGAGACAGGTGAGAAAAGTTGGTAGTAAACTATCTATGGGCCTGAATTCACTACGAAGTCGGTCTGAAGGGTCAGCGAACTAGCTGAGTGCAACGATGCCAGTCAAAGGGGCTTCGCTCCACCCTCAAAACTGTGACCAAAAGGCCACTGCGTCGAGTGGCGAAAGTGATAACTGGGTGCTTGGCAGGAGCTGCATTGTTTGTCAGCAGGTCTGATTCTTGCCCAGGGAAATCAGTTGTTGCCCTGCCTAGCATGCCGTGGAAAAGTCCCTTCTCGTTGCACAACCCTTTCAACTGATTGCACGAACGAAGCGAGAGGCATATCAATGGTCAGGCAGTGGAGGCAGAGGCGAACGAAGAGAGCTTGCTGACTAGAATGCTGCATTCCCCCCCCCCGAAGGGAGGTCTCCTTTGCACCCCTCGGCATTCAAGAAGGGCTAAGGCAGTATACTCTGTTCCAGAAAGAAAGAGAGGCGCCAACGTGAAAGCATCCTTCTGTTACGCGCAAGGCCCGTGTGAAACAGGTGAAACCGTGGACCTATCCTAGCATGGTACTTGTGCCTCTTTGTACAGCAATGGTTATGGCATGGCCGCCGCAGAGAGAACTAAGGTTCCCCCTGGCCGCCTTCCATTACCATTCTCTACCACCCGCCTTTTGGGAACGAGAAGCTAAGGCTCCCATTCCTGCAGGCTCACTGAATCGTAGCTGGTGAGGCCGAAATGGTGACTCTGCTTGAGCTTTGTTACGCCTGGCTCGCATAATCGAAGCGGCAGAGTAGCAATCCATCCCCACTGTCGTCAGAACGTTGCCGGTCTAGGGTATGGCTTCTTGAAAGTCTTCTCTCCATTGGTCTTTGGCATTTGGCGGCAAGAATCGAAGCCACTTGGGCTTGTCTAGTTGCTCACATTTGTCAAATGCATTGAGCCTGGCATATGTACCTCGCCATGTTTTGCTTTTCCCTTTTTTACGAACTGCTCGAAGCTGCGTGCAACCTGCAAAAGCACGCCTCGCTATATACAGCAGGGATGGTGGGACGCAGACTTCTTGCAGCGAGGTACACTTGAGAAAGGCTTCTTGCTCAATGATTCGTAAATTGCGGGGGAGGCTGAGTTGCTGCAGCTGTGAGCAATATGCAAAAGTTGAGCCCAAAATTTCAATGTTAAAATCTGGCGGCAGGAAGAGTGCGACAATGCCTGCTTCCAGGAAGCAGCAGTCAGGCAAACTTCGGTTCGGATATGCAGGACCACACCCTGACGTTCCCAAGTTGAGGTGATGCAGGGCCGTGCATCCTTGAAACACACGAGGCCGCAACTGTGCTTGGGGGGCTAGTATATTGGCAGGGCATT